CGCGATCCCGGAGAAGTCGGCCTCGAAGTTGCCGTCGTCGTCCTCTAGACAGAAGCTGGGCGGCGCTTCCTCCTTGCCGCTGCCCTTCTCACTCGCCGGGGTGTCCGCCTTGCAGCGAAATGCGCGCTTGCAGGGCTCCGCCCAGTGACCTCGGTCTCCGCAGTCAGCGCGTCTCGCGCGCTTGCGAAGGCCGCTCATCATCATCCGCTTGAATCCAGGCTTCGTCGCCCGTCTTCTGTCGAAGAAGCCCCTGTCTGCGTTCTGAGCAGCCTTCATCTTTCGAGCTTCCTGCCACGTTCGGCGGCGACCCTTGCCGAGCCTGTCCCCAACCACCGCTGCAAATATGATCGTGATCTCTCTCCGAGGACCTGCCCTTCGAGCGCGGCCAGCAGGGTCCCCACGTCTTCTTCCTGCAGATCAACTGAATCATCGATGTCTGAGAGGAAGGTCATCGGAGGTGGCGGAGGCCCCAGCTCGCCTGCCACCGGGGGGCCCACGTCCTCAAGCTCGGTCTCCACGAACGACTTCACTGCTGGAGAAGACGCGCCGGGGATAATGATACGATCGCGAACGTCCATCTTGAGCAGCGCGCCTCGGATGGAAGAGAAACCTTCACGGCCTCCAGCTTGCGTCTTCAAATTAATCCTGTTTTGGCCTGACAGCTGCGCTCCCTCTACTAAGTGGCGGGCCTTGACACCGTCTGGAAGGGCGAGATCGCGCCTTTGAGCTTCTAGGAATTGAGCATCCCCGCGCAGCACGACATCCGTCAGAGACTCCCCCTCGCGGGTGCTCACATCGAACAGGGCTCCACTGTGTGCAGCTCGCTCTTGGTCCCTGGGGTGTTTTCCGTTCAGAAGCGAAGTGTGTTTCAGCGGCTCCCTGGGAATCGTCCATCTCCGCTCGAACGGTCTTGAACTTGAGCTGGAGATCGACCGGTAGTCCCTCGAGTATGCGGCTGGCCTGGGTCTCTGAACTGATACCTGTTCGCTTCGCCCACGAACGAATATTTCCTTTGTAAATGTCCAGGTGCTCGAATCCGATCCAGACTGGAAGCGACCCATCGCCCCGATTCGGAACATGTCCCCCGCGGCGATGATCCCCAGGAGCCGTTCGTTTCCCAGTCCCAAGAGCCCCACCCGGACTCATGCCAGTTCTGCCAGCTCTTCACGTGCTGGTCTCTCGTGTTCGTCGTCGTGTCCTCCACCCACACCAATTTGCCCGTTGTCCAAGAACTTGCGGGCACCTCGGAACCTGGCGATTTCTGGTCACCTGCTCATTCCCGTTCGAGCGTTTGTCCTCCCTCATGCGCTGGCGCATCAGCCACAGTATCCCCCGCAGTGAGTCTCATGACTGCTCGAACCGCCTCCGACATAGTTCCGCTTACCACTGTCTCAACAACGTGGACATACGATAACCCCGAAGTGTGTCGAGCGTGCGAACAGGGTTCTATCTTCCTCACTAACAAGGAACGGTGTGAAGCCTGAATCACCGCGCCTAAGCCGAATGCTTCGGAGGAGGGCAAGATAGAGAGAGAGAGAGAGAGAGAGAGAGAGAGAGAGACCTAGAGTCTACGGGCTCGAGGGACCATGTGGGAGCATCCGCCACATCCTCACGACTGTCAGCACCTTCTGCTTCGCCGGGCGGGTCCTGGACGCAGGCTGTCACTGCACCGTCGGGAGGTGCACCTTCTCCGTCCCTATGACGTTCGGCGCCAGCAGGTGGACGATCGCTCGCTCCTCCAGCGACGATCTCTCGCTCCTCCTCGCCACATCCACGGCCGCCTTGGCAGGCGCGCCCATGCCCAGGCTACACTCGGCTCTGACCTCGGAGGTGCAGTTGAGCCGAGGAGCGCCAACTCCTCCTCCGAGAAATCCCCCATCTTCGCCAGCGTTTTCGCGACGGGAGTGGGCAGAGCGTCGCGCAGCGCCTCGCAAAGCCAGGTGAACGACTGCCCGCGATGGCTGCGCACCCCATCACAGGCGGCACGAAGGTGGAAGGCAGCAAAACCATACGCCCACGACCGGTGCGTACATGGTTTAAGGAGCTCCTCGACGGCCACGGGCTCCGCATCCTGCTCGACTCAAAACTCGCCGGCACCAAGCTCAGCATTCCCCCCCTCCTGCACGGCAAGGCCAGGGGACGCAGGATCAGACGTCAGGGTGCGTCTGGTGTGTATGACAGGGAACGAGGGCGTGGTCCGCGGTGCCCCGCGCGGACGCCGCAACGGGGAAGCATCGCCGCCGCCGCGGTGCGCTCAGCCGAAAAGGTCGAAGACCACGTCCTCGTCCTCCTCCTCCACGGCCGCGGCCTTCCTCTCCTCCTTCTTCTCGCCGCCGCCCGCCGCCGCCCGCCGCCGGCGCTGCAGCCACCGGGTTCGCCGCAGCGCACGCCTCGGGGTCCTCCAGGAACTTCTTGACAGGCTCCATTTCCTCCTCCCCCTCCTCCTCCTCCTCAGCGGCCGGCTCCAGGGCCTTCTCCTTCTGCGGCGGCTTCTGGCGCGGCGCCTCCTCCTCCTCCTCGGCGGGCTCCTCCTTCCTGGCTGGACGGGCAGGGGGCCTCTGCGGTCTCCTCCTGGCCTGCTGCCGCCGGCCACCGGCTCGTCCTCGTCCTCGTCCTCCTCCCCCTCCTCCTCCTCCTCGACGCTCGTCGTGCGTTGCCTCCTGGCCGTCGTCCTGACAGCCTCCTTTGGGCTCCCGCAGCCTCCCTGCTGCCTCCTCGTGGTCTCGTCGTCGCTCTCCAGCCGCTGCTCCTCCTCCTCCTCCTCCTCCTCCTCCTCCTCCTCCTCCTCCTCCTCCTCCTCCTCCTCCTGGTCGCCGCCCTCCGCGGGGCTTCCTCAGCGCCTCTCCGCTGCCTCCGCATGGCGTCGTCGTTGTTCTCCTGCTGCTCCTCCTCCCCCTCTTACCCCTCCTCCTCCTGGTCGCCCTCCCTCGCCTCGTCGCCCTCGGCGCCCGCCGCCCGCCCTTGCGCCTCACGCGACGGCCGCCGCCGCCGCCGCCTCCACTGCAGCCGCCGCCGCCAGGCGTGCCGGGGTCGCCCCGGGCCGCGGGCGCTGCAGGCGCTGCAGGATGGCCCGCGCGTTCTCCCTGTGTAGGGAGATGGAGAGTCGCTGGGCCATCCTGTCCGCCGTGCTGGCGGCCTCCTCGCCGCGCGCGTCAGCCGCGCGCTTAGCCAGCACGGCGAAGGCGCGCCGCGCCTCGCCGCCCCAGCTCCCGCCGTGCGCCTCCACCGCGGAGCGATGAGGGCCGCCGAGGCCACCTCGCAGAGCCCAGGTCCATCCCACGCGGGGGAGGGGAATGCCCGAGGAGGGCGGCGGCACGCGCGGCGGAGGAGGAGTGGGGCGGCGCAGGAAGGCGCCCGTGGCCTGGGTTCGGGGGCCCAGGTTGAGGGCCGAACTGGCGCCAGGAGAAGGGAGGAGGCGGAGAGGAGGAGGGAGGAGGATGGGTGAGGAGGAGGATGGGTGAGGAGGAGGAGGAGGAGGAGGATTCCGGGGGAAAGAAATACAGTTCCGGATCTACGAAGTTCTATGTATTTCGTGGAATGATCACCCCGTCGTGTACGACTACTCCTGTTCGTGGTCTTCGGTGATGCAAGTGATAAGCGGGGATGCTAGAGCTTGGGCCGGGGGCGGAGGAGGGAAGGAGGAGCGGAAGACAGAAGGAACAGAAAAGGAGGACAAGAGGAGGACGAGAAGGAGGAGAAAAAGAGGAGCAGGAGCAGGAAGAGGGAGATAATAATTGAGAGAAGAAGAGGAGAAGGAGGCGGAGGAAGAGGAGGAGGAGGAGGAGGAGGAGGGGGAGGGGGAGGAGGAGGAGGAGGAGGAGGAGGAGGAGGAGGAGCAGGAGGAGGAGGAGGAGGAGTTGGGGGGATAAGGAGGAGGAGGATGAGGAATGATCCCTTCAGATGTGCGATGCATGATCTGAATATCAGGGTTCTGATTCGAAACTTTGCCAGTGGATCATCAACTTCGGCGGGCGGAGGCACGCCAAGGGTCGGCCCACCGCCCTCGATGGGTTCTTGGTGGCGGTGCTTCATGGTTCGCTCGGACGTCCTGAGACGGTGGTCAATGCAAACGGGGGTCAGCCAGAGCGCCAGGTCTTGCAGGATCCCGCAGAGCCAGAGAAAGGATTTCGCAGGATCCTGCAAGATTTTGCAAGAGCTACAACGCCTGACTGACCCGTGCCTGCATTGACCCGTCTCAACAGATCCCCGTTCTCCTCTGGGTGATGACCGCCGCGCGTCGAGAGTCACGACGGGCGCTCTCATCTCACCCCGCCTCGGCCCCAAGGACTCAGAAGAGGAAAAACTACCCATACCGCTAACCTCCCCTCGTTTTCCCCTTTTGAGGCCTCTTTGGCGGTCCTCGTCGCCACCGCAGGATTCGCCTCGAAATTATGGTCAGAACGCAGCCCGGGAGAGGTTCAGGGAGTAGCGGCATCGGTACTCTTGGCTTCCCCAACGGCGGGCGCTCTCGCCCTGCCTCGGCCCCGAGGACCCTCACGAACCCATCTCGTGTCAGAATCGGAGGACGGCAGGACAGCGGCCCCAAATAGGGCCCTTGAGCTGCCGCCGCAGGCCAATGAGGTGACTAGAGGTACAAGCTTCTTCACCCCAACGTTTATCAACCCCACAACCGCCTGGGCTCGTCTATAAATCTTCTCTGCGGTCCGTGTCCGGCACAAGAGACGGGGAGGCGGGGAGGGGATCGGCACCCACACCCCAACCCATCTCGAAGCCCAAAATTTCGGACTGGGGGCGTACGGATTCCATCGCCCCCCCACTGAGAATGGCGGGCAACTCTCGCCATCGCTCGGACGCCCATTCCCCGTGCATGTTTCGGATTCGTGCGTGCATATGTTCGCAAGATTACCCGAACTGCTCCTCGATGGTCCTTGCGAAGAAAATGCACACGTCCGAGCGATACCAAGAACTTGGGGCTTTCGGGTTGGGTTAGGGTGCTTGGGGAGTGGTGAATGAACTGCCGTGCACCCAATGGAGCCCGCCTGCAACTTCAGCCCGAACTCCGGCATGGCCGCGGGCGCCCCCGCGCAGGCCGGCAACGCGAGAACCCGCTGAGACCGCCGCGCGCGCGCGGCGCCATGGGTGCGGCGCCGCTGGCGCATCGACGTCGTCGAGGCAGGGGCAGGATCAGTCAGCATCGAATCGGGAAATGGCATCAAATCGGAGCGAGCCTCCTGGGCGTCCGATCGGGCTGTATTTTCGCGGACTCGGCATCGAACCGGATCGGCTACGCCAGAATGCGCAGCATGGCCATGCAAACATCGGCCAACATCGGATCGTCGGAATATCGAAAAATCCAATCAGGTCAGGCCCAAATCGATATAGAATCGGATCGATCGATATGGATCCTGATGTGGGTATCGATGACGAAGTTTTTTATACCATGTCGGCATTTTGGGGCTCGTTGCGGGACACGCGGATGTTAGACTTGCCCCCGAGGAGGGGCCGATCGGGGATTGGGGACCGGCGCGAATCTAGAATCGAGCAGGGATCGAGGATCGAAGGGGGAAGTAGGATCGAGGATAGACCGACAGGGGTTAGGTGGCAACTCCTGGGAGTCGTCGTGGGTGACACTAAGCAGGATCAAGGGGCTACGTCAGACTAAGCCAAATCTGGCTGGAGTAGACGGGGGCAAGGCCAGATTGTACCCACGGAGATAGAAAACCGATGCTGAGTTCAACGCGACACAGAGGCGAGGAGGGATCGATCGAAAGATAGGGGATCTCTTCGCCACAATTGGGTTCCTGACACAAGCCTGATAATAACGCAACGAACCAAAGGTCCCCAGCCAATTTGTCACGGAGGAAGCGTGGGGAAGGGGATTCATTAAAGGGACAAGCTAGGTGCGCTCGCGTCATAAATGACGTCCTACCCCTCCCTCCCATCCATTAACATGGCGTAGCTACCCTCTCTATTTGCACAGTCGGATGTCGAGCAGGGCAATGATAACGAGAGGATGCGCGAAGCATGGTAGAGCACGGAATGGCATGGCGTAGAAGAGCAAGGCAGAGCGTAGCATGCCATAGCGTGGCGTGGCATTGCGAACTGAAGCATTGCATCACGAAACATTGCAACACAAAGCGAGGCATCGCAAAGCGAGGCAGAACACAACATCGCAAAACATGTCATGGCATGGCGCCGAGTCCCTTGGAGAGTATGTGACATCGCATTATCCTTCTTTCCGAGGCCACTGAGCACACATGTGCTAGGCGAACAGACTGGAAAAGGAGGGTGTCACGCAGCGCAAATACGCTTGCGTTGACCTGAGCATCGGTTCAACAACTTGCGTGAAACGTAAAAGGCAACGTCATCTAAAGCAACGCTCTCTGCCGTGAACGAGGAGACGGGCGAGCTGAAGAAAATGCCGCGGAATGCTAAAGGAAACGTGTATCGATGATGTTCTCTGACCACAATCGCCTCGACGATCCAAGCGGCGGCCGAACAAGAGTCTTTCCGTGTGCCGCCATCAGAATGACAGAGAATGTTTGCTTCACATGGACTGAAATTCGGGACCATGGGCGCGACCTCCTTGAGCCAACTCTCGCCGACATCCATGGTGAAATTCGCAAGAAAATCAGCAATCTGATTGTTTTCTCGCTGGTGCCAGAGGACAGGGTCAGCGATGCGTGTGGCAGGTGTCCATCCAACAGAAATGAGATCAAATATCGTGCTTGTGATACGTTCATACACGGGAAACAAACTGTCTGTACGGAGAGGCACGTGACCACCGACCACATCTGCCACCGGCTTGCAGTCGACCACGAAAGCAATGCAATTACTTGAGCGCCAAAACTCAATCTGAGGGGGCTGTACGCCATGGGCAGTGGGGCAATTGTCAAGGCAAGAGAAGGTACCTTTATGACGTTTAGTCCTTGGTGTCGCCGAAACCGTTGCCTCAAGATCTTGCCCGGGAGTTTTCGCCTGGAGGGCGGGCAGTCCCCAGTGCGAACACGCGCTGTTGACGAAGTTCTGGCACAGTGCGCGCCACTCACAAATCGTAGAGCAAGCGTCGCGCGTCGACCGCCAATGTGCGCCAAGAACCGTGCATAATACATCTTCCCATTCTGTGCGATAACCCATACCCTGGTGAACAAAACCTGCTGCCCTGCGCTGGTTGCCAATATCTTTGATTGTCTCCCAAAACTGCCGGTCCCGGTACGCCCGGGAAAGAGCGAGCCAATTGACGGAGCCAGGAGAGCAAAAACTCCTCTCTCTCCAAGCGTGCTCGAACACTTCGCGCAGGATCCGGTGATGAAGCTGAACATGGCCATGCTTTATAAACCAAGCTCGGATAGAGATGGCTGATCGCGAATTGTACTGCATATGAGTCTCCCCAGGCCTCCGCTTCAATTTGAAAGCGCGGCGAAGCAGTCGAAGCTCCCAACGACGAGCGCGAACAAGTATATGCTTAGATATGTGCCAAGAACCGCTGCCAAGAAGAAGCGAACTCACCGGCGCCGAGGACCACATTTTGAGTTTTGCCGACATGCTAGCCCTACCCGACAGAAGCTTCCAATGCTTCCAGAAACAAGCTTCACCTTTCGTAAACCTGTGTTCAACGCTGACGGCCGTGTCACCCTTGCTGTCGAAAAGCGTGCCGAGAACAAGCAATTCAGTTGCATACGAAAACACCACGCTAGAGACAGCAATTGCGTGGTGGGGCTCCTCGTCGGTTGCCAGGGTCTCGCTCAACATAAAATACAGTGAAGAATGCTTCCATTGAAAACCAGCTGCGTGGATCGCGCTCGTAACATCCGTCGCCATCGCCACAAATTGCTCCCGTGACCTAGCAAAAAGAAAAACGTTATCCGCCCAAATCAAATGTGTAAGTAACGGCTTCTGCGTTTCCCCGGTGTCTGTGAAGTCGAATCCATAACGTAATTGCCGCCACTTGCATACGACAGGTTCCAATAAGAATTCCATCATGCGGTTGAATTCGTCTGGGGTTTCCACTCCTCCCTGCTTCCCCCCCCGTTCGAGAGGGAACTCGTCGGAATGCCCGGCTCCAGGAAGCTCGATTCGGCATTGTTTATCCGATACTTCCAACATCAAAGCGCGGACCAATTCAGGATGAAGGCCGCGACCAAGTAGGGCATCTTTCAAACAAGAATGGCCCATGGCGTCGAAAGCTGTCGCAATATCAGCGCTGCCCAGAATCAGCGGCAAGCCCCAACGATATGCAATGAAGAGTGTCTGACGAATGATTGCTGAGATGTCGTCGCACCTGTACCCAGGGCGGAATCCCAGGGTTTCTACGGCAGTGCCGGTAACAGATCGGCGCAAAGGTAATTGAAGGCATCTCGTGTACCACTTGAAACAACAATCCAATTTGCCAATCCACCTGAAGGAATCCAAAGTTGAGGACTTCGACTCCTTCGGAAGACCATGGAAATCGATCATACTCCAACTATCTGGTGCTTTCACGCTGGCTCCGCAATACCTCTCGCAGAAATGATTCCAAAAATCGCATAGAATGATGTACGGCACCCCCTTGTACACCTCGGGCGGCACCCCGTCACACCCCGAGGACGTACAATTCTTCAAGCCAGCTCGGCCGAGGAGTACCGAAAACGGGGTAAGTTCAGGAGCGAAGATGCCGTCCAACCGTTGTCCACGAGCTGCGCCGGCCAAGCAACTTAAACGATGAAGCTGCGCAGCATGCAAATTCGCATCATCTCCAAAGCGCCTCCGTCCAAAATTCCATGCTTCACGTCGCCACTCGTCACGGTCAGTAGAAGCTACTCCATTGATTTGTAAAGTATGTGGCAAGCGTTTGCCAACCACTCCAGAGCATAAATTTATGATCCTGCTCTCGTGCTTCATTCGTGTCGCCACGCGTTTCGCCTTCCGCAGACTCCGGATTTCACCGCGCCTCTCCACAGGATCGGAGAATGGCGCGCGCGCCACGCTTAACCTAGCCTCGTTGGGATGCCGATTCCGGGCCAAGCGCTCCATGCGAGTGCGACTGCCGCGAGTGTCGAAAAGGATCTGCTGGGCACAGTGCTTCAAGCCAGACTGTAAAGAAACGAAGTCGGAATACTGATATTGAAGCGCCAATTTCTTAAACTTCTCGGATTCCTGCTCGTCCCGAGGGCACCATCCCAACAGAGAGCGTTGACGAACAGGTGGGTCTGAGACTGTAGCTGGTGTTCGAATTTCGCCAACAACCAAGCGATGGTCAGAACGAGAAAACAAACGATGATCCATAGAGCACGCCCGCGCGCTGCCAGAAATAGCAGCAGACACAGCCAAGAAGTCGATCTGCGCCTGTGTGTACGTCCGGCGCTTCACCATTCTCGTCCACAAGCTCTCCTCGGACATGTCGGTCCTGTTAGTGGAAAACGTGTTTAGGGCACGCAGCCCTAAAGCCTCCAACCAAGAAGATACCACACGAACTTTGGAAGGTGAGTGGCTTGAAAGCGGTGGCATAACGAATGAACCAGATAACCCATCGATGTTTCCAGGCAAAGTTACGTTAGAATCAACCCCGAGTACCAGCTCGAAGTCAATAGAAGAAAATGCGGACCGCATATTGTGCACGTAATTGACGGTGTCCTGGAAGACTCTATCGGCACGGCCACCTTCTTCGAGGTGGTCCAGAACATGCGCTGACAGGAAGATGCAACACCCCAGTACCGCCCCACACCAATACTCGCCAAAAGAAATGTCTCTTACGGCCGGCATCCAACGTCTAGGAATAACTAAGCCGCAATCACAACCCTCTCTGGCGATAACGGTATGGCCGGAGTACGTGAGATGATTAATTTTCCCCCACGCGGGAATCTCCTGGAATAAACCCACGAACTCAACAAGCTCTCCCCGAAGACGCCGAAGAATGCGAGGAGCTGCATGCTGACTCTTTTTGCACGTATTCCAAGAGACCGTTTTGAATTCGGTATTCCCCAAAACTTGTCCGAAGCCAGCTCACTGCCGGAAGGCAGCGAACTCCACCTCGAGCGACTGGGCTGTAGTGCCGATGGCTGCTGCCCCCTCGGCCTTCCAGTCGATTATCCTTCTCAAAGCAGAAACGAGACTCCCGCCTGATACTCCCTGAAAACGACGACGCCCCAAAGTGGGGGGGGGCTTCTGCGGCCGAGAAGTCAACGAATCGACACCGAATGTGGAATCACTTCCGATGGTTTTTTCTGGGAGGGGATTTCTATATTTTTGGAAGGGCCGAAAACACCCGCGCTGCAGCGGGAACACGATTAGGAACAACCGCAGGCGCATAAATGGGGCCAACGCCTCAACGGGAACAACATGTCGGAAACAAGCCCAAACGAAATCATGTCCCGGGAATCCGCTGTGTAAAAAACAATACGCGGAGGGGGACTGGATACCTTCCCGACGTCATGAGGGGAGAAACGAGAATAGTACTCGTATCGTGAGAATGTTGAGCAACTGGATGCGAAAAGGAATTATAAACATCTGCGAGAACAAATGCTGTGATGCATTAGGGGAAGCGGGGCTGGGCTACAACCCCGACGCCCGGCGCAATATTTTAGCAATGCGTTTCATGGCGCTCATACCATGAAACTACCCAAAACGTTTGGCCAAATTTCCTCGCACCCATGTCAGCAAACGGTCAGAAAGCCGTGACAACGGCAGTGCGCGGACCTTTCTGCTAATACATGTCGAACGACTCAAGCGGATCACTGGCGCTTGCGGAACGGGTATCGCGCCAATCTCCAGTCGCTTGAAGCTGCGCGCGAACATTTTTTCATCGGCAGCGAGGCAGAGTCGGCTGCACCAGCGCAGAAGGTTCACGGGGGCACAGAAAAACCAATTGTGCAAGCATGCGAAGAAGGGGAGAGGCAGGGCACGCGGCCGCGGAGGGAAGGGGGGGGGAAGGCAAGGCCACTCAGAGACGGAAGAATTCGCACGCGAGCGTGCTGGCGCGGCCAGCACCTCCAGCGGAGGCCGCGGCAGCTGGCCGCGGCGCCACTGCGGGAGAAAAAGGTAGTACACGAGGTGCCGATGGCGATGGCGTTGCCGAAGCAGTACACGAGGTGCTCGGACGGCAGGGTGAGTGCCACCGGCCGCCCAAGTGAGAGGCACAAGACAAGGTGAGGCAAGTACATGTGCAGGCTACGTTGGGACTGCAGCCCGCAAAATGCTGAGCTGGTGGAAGGGGACAGGCGGCAAGACTACGCCCGGGTGCCCGACCACGTGAAGGACTGCGTACTAAGGCGGCCATGCGAGCGCCATGGCGGCGCGTTGAGGGAGGGAGGGGAAGGGAACGAAGGGGCAGGGGGAGGAGAGGGCGGGGGAGGAGCGGCCCGCCTGTGGGGTGGTCCCCGCAGGCGGGGCGGCCGCGCCAGCACCAGCGCAGGCGGCCGTGCGCGCGCGCACACACACACGCACACACACAAACACACACAAACACACACACACATTCACAAACAGAAGCCGTGCACGGCAGAGGTGCGTTGGCAATGTGGCGAGATGGAGATGATGATTGGGTGCGAACAAAAACACGAGCATGCTAAATATGGCACCGAGGGGGGGGGGAAGGAGGAACAACATAGAAACAGCAACTCCCGCGCGCTTTGCAAACAATGAAAAACAACAACGGCTTACGATAATCGGTGGTCACTGAGACGCCCTCCACGATTTCCAGATCGATCCGCTATCGATCATAGCTCGGCAACGATCCGTCGACTGTTGATAGGAGTCCATCATCAATAGCTACCGTTCTCCCAGGAAATTGAATTACCTCAACCAACCCTCGGTCACCGACTTGCCCCGACGGCCTGGCTCGATCCGAAAGGTACCCAATGGTCCCAGGGGGTCCCCAGATACCTCTGGACCTTCCGAACAACAGAGCATGCCAAAATCTTCAACACTCGATCCTACATCGAGACTAACGCCAACTCATGACGGGCCCATGGGTGCAGCCCCCCCAGGGTCCACTCTGACCCGTTTTCACTCTGGAGCGATTTTGCCAGTTCTGGGGGCCGAAGCGAGCCCCTCGTCCGACATCGAAGAAACCCATCTAACCAAGATTCTCGAACCTCGAAATCTCCGACCCTCGAACATCGATCACAAACGTCTCAAGCTCGGACCTCGGTCCTCGGGCCTCCAGAGACTCGAGGTTCGATCTTCGGCCCTCGACTCTCAGGCCTCGAAGCCTCGATCCTGGGACCATCGGACCCTCGACTTTCAGGTCTCCGATCCCCCAAGCGACTGCACGGCGGAGGGGGGCCTCCGTGAGTGCGGAAACCACGGCCGCTCTGAGCAATCCAGACACCCCCAAACGCTCTCGGCGAGGTGCAGCTGCTCGAGTCTCGAGGGCCCCCCCAGTCCAGAAAACCGCCAGAACCGACGAGAACACTCGAACACCTCCAACCTCGAACCCGAAACTTTCCCCCCCCCGTGACCAGACGGCGAGCACAAGGGGGTATGGGGAGGGGGGAGGGCTTCCCAGAAGGAGGCATATTCTTCGAAGACGCATGCTTTACATCTACAGACGAAGCCCTCTCCTTTTCAGAAGTAGCCTCCTTCAAATAAGCCTTCCTCCCTCCCCCTACCCTAGGGAACCCACCCAGGACGTACGCGCCAGATCACGTAATTACATGAAATTGCATCCCACTCCGCCAGACCAGCCCCGTGACACGAATGTTCGCGCAATGCGCATTTCGAAACCAACGTGGGTTCATGCACGTGTACGTCTTTCTGTCGCTCCTGATACCCCTCCCTGGGCAAGCAGAACGGTACAAGTACCCATACCGCTACCCCCCAGACCTTTCCCAGGGTGCGCTCTGGCCCGCACTTCGCGGCGAATCCAGCTATGGCGACGCAAGCCCCCGAAGAGTCCCACAAACGGCAAAACGAGGCGAGGGGCAGTTCACGGTATGTTGAGCAGATACCGGCCGTCCCCGCACTCCTATAGGCCTATCACGACATGTTCTTAGAACCCACAAATGTTCGAAAAACAGAAACAAAATTCATAGAAGCGAAACACGAAGTGCCAAAACAAGACATACTCAGCTAGAACTGTTCTAAAAACATATCGTGGAAACCATAAACAGACCTTGGAACATTTTTTGGTGGGCCTGTAGGCGAGCGGGAATCACCGCCACTGCTTGAGTATGGGCACCACTTCCTCCTTGCCCCTGATGATGGGCTTGTTTCCCACCAGCACTACAATAAAATGGAGGGGGAGGGGTTCCTCCTCCTCCTCCTCCTCCTCCTCCTCCTCTTGTTCGTTCTCCTCCTCCTCGTCCTCCTCCTTTCCCCCTCCAACTTATGGGCGGTGGTGGAAAACAGGCACATCGCATGACGCCGCCGCCGGGCAAAGGAGGCCCCCGCCGCGGGCGGCCGGCGCCTGCCGCGGCCGGCCCGGCGGGCGCTGCCCCGCGCTCCTCGCGGCGGCAGGGCGGCGGAGGTAGGGCGGCGGAGGCCCTGCAGCTCCCAACAGGAGGGGGAGACGGCAGGCTCGCGTCGCCGGGCTCCAGCGACGAGCACAATCCTGGTGGCGACGAGCGTCCAAACGCCCCGACGATGGGCGTGGCGCGCCCCCTCGCGAGCGCCGCAGCAGGGGCAGTGCCCGCTGCGGCGCGGCACCGCTACCGCGGTGGTCACCGCCGCGGCGCGCGGCGAGGGGGCAGCGCGCGGGCCTGACACCCCTGAACGCAACGCCACCGTCGCACCCAAAACGCGCAACACAGCGCGCCAGGTGTGGGTAGGTGGGGAATACCAACAGGCAGCGGGCCTGCGCGCGCCTGCGGCATTTGCAAACGCCTGCGCCGCGCCGCGGCGCGCCCGCGCCCCCGACGGGCCGCGCGCGCACCTGCGACCCCGCCTGCGCAACGACGCAACGAGGGCGCGCGCGCGCAGGGCCCCCCCCCCTTCGCGCGCGCGCCTGCCGCAAGACGCGCACCGCGCGCGTCGCCTGCCGGCCGCGCGCGGCCCCCCGCTGCCCCCCCAGCGGATTGTGCCCGCGAACAAGCGAGTGCGCCTACCACAATCCTGGCGGCGACGAGCGCCCAGGCGCGCCACGCGCCGACGATGGGCGCGACGTGCCCCCATCGCGAGCGCTGCAGCAGTGGCAGAGCCCACTGCGGCGCGGCACCGCCGCCGTGGTGGACACCGCCGCGGCGCGCGGCGAGGGGGCAGCGCACGGGCCCGACACCAACTGCGAACCCGAACGCTGGCGCCGACGACGCCGGACACCCGATGCAAGCTGCGCGCGACGGCAGCTGCCCACGCGCGGAAACGCGGTCCGCTCGGGGGGCACGCGCAGAAACATGGTCCGCTGAAGGCCGGCCCACGGAAGTGGCGGGCGCGGATGCCAGCCGCGCCGCCTCCCCGGTGGCAGCGCAAGCGAGCCCCGACCGCACTGGGCGACGGAGCCAGCTACCGCTGGCGCGCGCGCCCCCCTGGCGCGAGAGCTAACCAAGCACGCGCGCAGGTGCGTGGCCTGCCTGCAGCGCCTCCAGCATGGCGTCGCCCTCGAGCTCCATGTGATCGAAGAACGCGCCCGAGCGCCGGCAACCCGCGCGGAAAATCTCAGCGACCCTACAACCACTGCGGTGTTAGGTCTCCGCGTGGCCACGCCGGAAAGACCTCGGGCGAAAGTGCGCGGAGTCGCGCTCGGCGGCGTCGCGATTGAGCCGCCGCGCCGAGCCGAGAACGCACCCGCTTGACAGGTGCGCAAACGGCGCGGCGCCCACCGGCGCGCGGTCAAAGATGGCACCGAAGGCGCGCGCGGGGCAAGTGGTCTTGCACGCCGCGCGCCAACAGCTGCGCACAATGCGTGAGGGATGGTCGACGTGCTTGCGCCTACTCAAATGCAATGCGACACGCCCGCCGTCGAATAATGCGAAAATCCACGTCGGAGAAGGAGGAGGGCGCGGCCGCGCGCGGGCCCCCCTTCTCGACTCCGAGGCCCTCCGACGGCACTCTATGAGCGAACGCGAAAGCCGCGACGAAAAGACCCCGGGTAGCCTCGTCGGGCTCGCGGGCAAGCGCGTCGGCTAAGAGCCGATGGCCGATCGCGGGCTTCGGCGCCGGCTCCTCGCGCAGGCGCCTGCGCGCGGCGGCGCGCGCGCCGCTTGCTTCCGCGCTGTCAAAGGCACTGCAGTCGAGGCGCAGTAGCCGGGAGGCCTTGTGGACCTGCGCCTTGCAATTGCCGGACGCGTTGGGATTGCGGAAATGCGTGGCCCACAACGCGAGTGCAGCAGGGGAGGGCGGCAGCGCGTCGCTGTCGCATTGCCCAGAACCTTGCCGGCGAACGCATAGTAATTGCGCAGGGCGCTGCGCCACGTGCCGAAATATGCCGGCGCCCCGCCCGCGAGGGCCGTCGCGCGCATGGCCTCCAGCCGCGCGGCCCGCTGCGCTTCCGAAATGCGGCCGTGCGCCTCGGCCGCTGCCCGCGCGCTCGCCGCTGGCCCAGCCCGCGAGCGGCTGGCGCGCTCGCGCTCGAAGTGCACGGCGGCAGGGCAAGCGCGGGCTAGCGCCGCGCGCTGCGAAGGCCTTGCGCGTGGTGCCGAGTCAAAGGAGGAGTCCGAGCTCGACGAAACAGACTCGGCGTCGAGGCGCGTAGCGGGCTGACGCTGCCGCGCGACGGCGGAATCCCCGACCGCACTGGCCCCGCGGACTCCAGGCGGCGGTGGCCCCGCTGGAGGGGCGCACAGCGGCGCGGCGCGCGGCGGTCTCATGCATGTGTCGCTCGCCGCCTGCGCGATGGGGCTGGGCGACTGGGCGGCCCGCACGCGCTCGCGCGCCTGGCTGCCTGGCCACCGCCGGCAGTCCGGCGCTCCTCTGACGTCGTCGAGTGACAAGACGTCGCTGGCGACGCGGAGCCGCGCCGCTTCGCGCATGGCCGCTGCGCCGAATGAAGGACAACGACGAGCAAGGGCGTCGCGAAGGCTCATGGCTCGGCCACTCGCGCAGCGCACTCCTCGGAACTTGCCTGCGCGCGCGGCGACCGCCGAACGCGCGCGGCGCGACGTTGTTACGCGCGACCCACGCAGCGGCCGCGCTGCCATTGCTCGGCTGACAGAGCCTCGCGCATATTGCCCGCGCGCGATCTGTCGCGCCGATCTAGCACGCTGGCTCGCACGGGAAAAGCATCGACCCCCACGAGGCGGGCGCGCAAAACGTCGCGCCCAGGCGCGGCTCGACCCGCGCGGCGCGCAATTGCTGCAGCAGCCCGAATTCCCCCCGGGACGGGTCGTCCGCGATTTTCTCGTCCGTCGGCACCCGTTCAACGCGGACGAGGCAGCGAACGCGCGCGCGCGGGCCGGCGGCCTGCGCGCCCGCATGGCCCGACCGAATCACGACCCGGCGAGGCCGAATCGCCGACTCGAACGAGCACAGACCAAGGGCGATGCTTAGCATTTCCAGACCCATGATCTGGTTGCCCCCCCTGGGCTGGAACGCGCGCAGAGCCCTGGAGAACGCGCGGTCGCGAAGCGTGAACGCGCGCGGAAACAAAGTCACTTGTCAACGCTCGGCTTCTCGACCTGGACGAGCTTGTGGGTCGCACCTGTCTTCTTGTTTTCTATATATATATACACACACACACACACACACACACACAAACCATTCTGCGGACTGGAACGGGGGCCACGCTCGAGGCCGATGTGAGGTTCGAGAAGCTCCCTGATCCGACCGAGGACACTGAACTGCACATTGGTGGCCTGATCTCTGAGCGGCTTCAGGCGGAGCAGGACCTGACCGCGAGGGGTGTCGAAACCAAAGCCGTTGGGGAAGTTCTTCCGAAAGCATCCGAGAGTTTCCTGGACTTCCGACACCGAGGGAAAGGTAATAATCACTTCCTTCGCAATACTCTGAAAAAGTGACCTTCATCTGCTGCTGGACTTCAACTTTCGCACAAACGAGGAAAGAATCGCAGCACCTGCCTTCTCAACGACCTTCTTACTAAACTCATCCTTGAAACCGACCAAGATTGCTTTGAACTGGTTCGACTCCGAGAAAATCTGGGAAGTTCTGGGCATAATCGAAGCACCACCCACAGATAGAGTTTTCTTCCGATCTGGAACAAAGCCCTCGTACTCGTCACGATTCAAACTTCCACCACTGCCTACATCACGACGGAGCCCAACCAAGAGACGGTCATTGTTGTCCCCTTTCTTCTGAACTGCTGCAACATCCTGCTGAACTGACTCCATGAGAAGACCCAACTCGGAGAATTGTGCACTGAGCTGGGCTACGAGAGTCGTGTGGCCCTCAAGAGCCTTCGCCTGCGCCTTCTGGCCATCCTTGAACTCGAGCATTCCTTTGACGAACATTTCCTCCGGAGCAGTCAGACCCTTCACATGAGCGGCCACGTCGGCCTCTGGCATCGCGGCGACGACCGATCTGTCCGAGGAGGGGTCAGGCAGGCAGCACGCAAGCAACGGACAACGCCAACAACGGACAGGCAGCCTGAGCCAGACAACGGACAGGCCAAGCGAATCCAGGATTCGCTATGCCACTTTAGCTTCACAGGGTTGCACTTGAGCCAAAATGGCTACTGATGATGATGATGATGCTGATGATGATGATGATGATGGTGATGGTGATGGTTATGGTGATGATGATGATGATGATGATGATGATGATGATGATGATGATTATTCGATTCGATTCGATTCGATGAAGATGAAGATGATGATGATGATGATGATGATCATGATGATGATGATGATGATGATGATGATGATGATGATGATGATGATGATGATGATGATGTGGATGATAGCGATGGCGACGAAGATGACGACGGTGATGACAATGAAATTGACGATGACGATGAGGACGCGGAATGGAGGGAGGGAGGGGGCAGCGGGAGGAAGGAGTGGACGCGGGGCGCTGTCTCTTCAGAACGAGGACCCAACACCACAGGATGGTTTGGAATACACTTCCGAAGCTCCGCGCAGATTTCATGGATCTGCGCTATAGCCCCCCGTGGCGGCGCCTCCGGTGCCGCCCCTGGCGCGCTCCGAGCGCCAAGATCAGGGGGTCCGCTGCCGACCCAAGAACTCCGCGCGGACCGTCAACATCTATGTGTATGCTGTTTTTATCATTCTTCTTCGAATCGTGACGGCCCAAGCGTTGGCTCTTGAAACCGTGTGAGCCGTTCGACCTGGAACGATCGGCGGCTTTCCGATTGCGCAAGTTGCTGCAGATTGGCCGATTCTTTGGGCCACTGGCGGCGTTCAACCTGAAACACCCGCGTCGGGATCGCCGCCGCATCGGGACGACACGAACTTGTGGGCTACGCGCAAGAGAGACCCTGGGCAAGAATGACCTCAGGTGCGCGTCATTAACTAGGCACCGTGGGTGGGTGGGTGGGGCAAAGCCAAGCGCACAGACCAGTGCTGGGGGGACGCCTGTGGACCGCCCCAGAGGTCACTCCAGAGAAAGGTCGCTCTGCGGCGGCGCGCAGAAGGGAGCAAGCGGATGGTGGAAGGCTTCTTGTACGGAAGCTGCTTCTTCGAAGGCGCCGGCCTTACATCCACAGCCAATGCCCGCGCCGTCCAAGATGCAAGGGTGCTTCTAAGAAGCCTTCCACCTCCCCCTACCCCCCTTCTGCGTGTGGCCGAACTGTTACACACACAACCGAGCCTGCCGTATCCTCCTGTGCTTCCAGATGAGCGCCGCGCGCTGCGCGCTGCACACTGCGCGGAAGCGCGGCTGCCCTCGCGCTCTCGGCACCGCGCACCCCCTCTGGACAGGCAGGCGCGGCTCCTCCAGACCGGGGCGCGAGAGCCGCGGCTGCCCTCACGCTCGTGGCCCACATGGAGGGGGCACTGGGCACGTGTGCGCGGGCGTGGGGGGAATGGGGGGGTTCGGCGGCGTGCCCAGGGGAGAAGGCAGAGGGGGGCGGGCCTCCTCGTCGTCGTCGTCGTCCCAAGGTTCCCGGCGGCGCCCGAGGCGCCGCGCCGGAGGCGCCGCCAGGGGGGCCGAGCGCCGATCCAAGAAATCCGAAATCCACCCTGACCTTCGAAAGCTGATTCCCCGAACGGTGCTTGAACTGAGGGTTTCTTGCTTGTCTTCTGAGGTAACTGAGCCTGAGTGGCGACCTGGGCGGCATGTGGCCGCCCGTCACCACCGCCCTCGCAGCTGGTAAGTGAGCCTGCGTGGCGGTCCGGGCAGCAGATGGCCGCCTGTCGCCGCCGCCGTCGCCGCGCATGTCGTTGCATTGCTTTGCTGCGAACTGTTTTGCAATGCATTGCATTGCGCTGTATTGCTACGCATTGTTTTGCACAACATATATTGCACCACCTAGTTTGTATCACATTGGTTGCGCCACATTGGTTGCATCTATGTTGCACCACATAAAATTCAAGGAATCACTATTTGGGGTCCACGCTGGTTAACATGTTTATGCACACTGTTCTTCTTTGAGTCACCGTCCCGTCCAGCCACGTGCGCGCGCTGCTCCTGCTTAGGCTCGCCCTCAGCCTCCGACGCAGGCGCTGGCGCCGCGGGCGCCTCCGCCACGCCTTCGTCGAGCAGCAGCCCCCTGCCGAGCCCAGGTAACGCCTCGCCGAGCGGGAGTCGCCAGGGCGACGCCGGCGGCGACGACTGCGGTAGCGACGGCGGCGGCGACGATGACGACTGCGGGGCCGGCGGCGGCGGGCGGCAGCCGCAGCGCGCCACCTTTTGGAGGAGGTCAAACATGACCACGGAGCCGAGCGAGTGCCCCACGATCGCCACCTGCCCGTTCCAGCGGGCGGGGGGTCCACCCGCGGCCGCGGCGCGGAGGCGGAGGGCGGCTGCGGCGCATTGGGCCTGCCGAAAGCCGCCTGATGGAAACTGGCTGCCCGTAGTGCTGCATCCTCCTCCTCCTCGGGCTCAAGCTGCGGGCAACACGAGTCGACGGTCGACGCTGCCCTCCTCCTACTCCTCCGCCTTCCCTCGTCCCGCATCCTCGTCCCCTTCCCTCCTCTCTTGACCCTCCTCCAAGACCCTCCTCCAAACTCCCACCTGAGGGGTAACGATAGGGGGGGACTGCCATCAAGGGGGGAGAACATCGACCTGCAATCGGCGATACATCGACGATAGATCGGCGATAAGCCCCCCAGTAGCGAATCCGGACGTTCCCGGGCGTGGTGGGGCTATCAGCCGCCTATCGGCGATCACAGGGCGATTGGGGGTCGATGCGTCCCCCCTATGACTATCCCCTTTTTTCGCTGCCCCTGACACCCGCCCTCCTCCCTTTGCCCTCCTTGGGAGCCGACCGCCTCAAGGGCCATTGGGCGTCGATGCGTTCCCCCTATGACTATCCCCCCTTCACCGCTGCCCCTGACCACCTCCCTCCTCCCTTTGCCCTTCTCGGGTGCCGCCCGCCTCGCCCGAGTAGCTCGGCGTCCTCGCGCGGAAGAGGGCGAACAGCCGGTCCTGGATCCGGGCCACCGAGAGATGGGGGGCTCCACCGCCGGCCGAGGGAAGGGGGGTGGGCCGAAGGGGCCCGGGAGAACGGGAAGCGCGAGGAGGAAGTGGGGCGAGGCAGAATGGGAGGAGGGGGAGGGCGCGAGGACAAAGCGGAGGACGGGGGCAGGAGGCGAGACTGACCCGCGGTGTCCCGGTAAGCACGCGTCCCTGCGCACACGTATGACACACAACACACAAACACACACATACACACACACGTTGTTAACAGTCACGTCGAGTCCCGCGACACACACACAGACACACACACACACAAGCACACACACACACACACACACTGGTCGGGCCGCGCGGGCGATCGCGGGTCGGGCCGCGTGGGCGTCCGCGGGGCGGGCCCCCCCTGCTGTGCCATACGGCAGCGCCCGCTGTCAAGGCCGCGACGAGGCTAAGAAACACAAGAGAAGACGGGTCACGGGACGCTTAATAACATAGTAGCACTACGCGCTGATGTTGGAGGCGCACGTCCGACACGAACATGTAATACACAAATCCGCCGACCCTGTCGGCGTGTGTGAGGGGCTTGTCCGTTCAAGTCGTCATCTCCGTTATTCGTTGGTCGTCGTCTCTGTCATCCCCTTTCCCTGCCCCCGCCCTTTCCCTGGGCTCGTCGAAGCTCCCCCCTTTTCCGGGGACCTCCTCAGCGCGCCAGCCAAAGCAAAGTTGAGCAACGTCGTAATTGAGTCGAAGGGAAGCCCCTTCCCTTCGATCCCTCCCCCGCCGAGGGTGGGGGAGGGTGGGGGGGGGTCCCGGGGGGGGGCGGTCAGACGCCCCCCCTGGGAGTCCCGGGGCCCAAAAAAAATCCACGACGGGCCAAGAGCGCCCCAAGAGGCCTCAAAAGCAGTCCAAGAGAACCCCGAATCGCCGAACGATGTGTCCAAGACGCCTTGGCGGCCTCCAGGCTACGGCCCAAGAGGCCTACAAAGCGCCCCAAGAGGCCTCCAGGAGCCTTCCCACGAAGTTCCAGGAAGCAAACATCATGGATTCCCCAAACGTTTTGGAAGATTTTGGCGTTCTTGCCTTTTCCGCTTCCCGACGCGCCAAGACGGCCCAAGAGGCCCCCAAGATCGCCCCGAGACGGCCAAAGAGGCCCCCAAGAGGGTCCCCTAACGGCCGAAGAGGGCCCCAAGACGGCCCAAGACGCCTCCAAGACGTCTCTCGGCCCCAAGAGGCCCGCAAGAGGCCCCGAAGACGCCCCCAAGAGGCCCCAAGAGGCTCCCAAGGGGCCCCCAAACTGCTCCAAGACAGCCCAGGAGAGCCCGAATTGCCCAGGAGGCCTCCAAGAATGCCTCGAGACGGCGCAAGAGGAGCCCTGGACGGCCCAAGACGGCCTCAAGAGAGCCCCAGGCTGTCCCAAGAAAGCCTCTGGCCTCCTCCTGCCTCCTCCTCCTCCTCCTCCTCCTCCTCCTCCTCCTCCTCCTCCTCCTCCTCCTCCTCCTCCTCCTCTCCCCCATACACACACCCACAGCGAAACCAGAGATCCGAGCGGCCGCCGCCTAGAAGAGTGGCATGACTCTTATAAACCGCCAAGCTCAAGGAACCTGAAGAGGGGATCCCCCTCCTCCTGCTCTCCTCTGCCTCCTTCTCCTCCTCTTGCTTTTCCTCCACATCCTTCTCCCCCTCCTCCTCCCTCATCCACCTCCTCCACCATTCCTCCACCTCCCGCTCATCCTTCTCCCCCTCCCCCCCCCTCGTCTTCATCTTCGTCGTTCTCAGGGTCGGCGGCACCGGCCGTAAGGCCTTCGCAATACTACGATATATCGTGTCCCGCGGGGTATGGCCAGAAAGCGCCAGCCACGGAGCGTATACTGCAAGATGCCTGAGCGTGCCCATGCCGGACCGACGTGCACATAGTATCAGCATGTTTGGGCGGTGCCGAGGTCAGGCATGGAAGCCTCGCTGGCGGGAGAAGCAACGACACGCGAAACGGTCTGGGAGTTCGAGCACAGGTCCTCCGCGCGACGCCGCCATGCACGTGCCCTGCATGTGACCCGAGTCTGCCTACATGCCCAGATCAGGCGAGCGCTCCGCAGCACATAACCAGCGTCGAGCTCATTCCTATCCCTAAGATCGGCAGGC